TCAAAATTATTCATTCGACTAGCACTATTATCAAGATATTCTAACAATTCTCCAAATACTATTTGTTCATCAAAATTTTCAGATACACACACCCAAGCCACTAGATCATACAACTTTTGCTCTTTTACCATCTCACATATTGATTTTGCCAACGTTGTCTTGCCTATGCCCCCCATGCCTACTATCGAAATGCCAGAGAGGTGGTGTTGACAGGACATTTCACACAACGTTTTGACAATATCTGAGACATCATTACACCTCCCCACAACTTTTGAACAATCAATTACAGAGTCTGTCTTAACATACTGCCTCCCAATGGAACGGGGTTCATCGCTGGATTTAATAAGCTGAAGCCAAGCTACATTCTTTGGGAGTTTATCTAGAGATTCATTGATCTTCTTAATTTTTTCAGCCATATTAGAAGGAAAGGAAGTGAACTTGGAGAGACAAGTGATAGAGCGCACCTGTTTCCTCTTTTGGCCTTGAGTCTTGTATAGACAAGACAAAGTGCTCACATGTTTCCTCTTCTGGTCTTGAGTCTTGGCTTTGTGCTTAAGGACCTGATAAGCGTACTCATCCAGCACATCCACTGCATCATAAGCTACATCTGCAAGATGCTGTAACCAAAGTCTTACAGCTTGGTTGCTCTCCTGTTTTTCCTCAGCATCTTTGAGCACTTCTTGGATCATAGCCAGTGACAGAGCCAGCTCCCTCAGCTCCTTCTCCAAATCCCAATCAAGGCTGATTTTTGCACCAGCAAATGAAGTTGCACTGGTAACTGCAGCCTGTACGAGAGGGGAAACGAGAGTGAGGACAATTTCAGCCATTATGCTTAGAGAGACACCGAGAATGATTGCACACGCCAACAAATTCTGAGAGAGAAAAGGAGATGATGTTGTGAGAGCAGAGTTGAGGGCAACAACTGGACTTAAATAGAGCTTGAACTTGAAGGCCATCCCACGTGCAGGGAAATTACCCATTCAATATATTTTTACTTTTCATCTAAATGGATAAATAGGTAATTTAAGGGGTGACATCAGGCCTCATAGAACTAGCCGCATCTAATACTATACCAATAATTATTATTTAAATAATGACTTCAATCATGTTATAATTTTCTGTCTGTATTCCAATTGTATCTATTAAAGAAATAATAATAATTTATGATGGTGGAAAAGTAAAGATGGTGTGCGTGGCTTGAATCGACTTTGAAGATTTATTAATTATTTAAACTTAGATGCATACACGAAACATTTTTAATGTAATTAATACTTCCTCCGTTTCATTTTGATTGCCTCAATTTTTTTAAAACTTTGCACGTATTTAATTAAGAAAAAGAAGAAACTTAGGATGTTATGATATTTATATATATTAAGATATTTAATTATAATTATTAAATATATTAAATATAATTTTATTAAATTTATCATATAATTATTATCAGATATTTTA